GCATCCTTTTATAATCAGCAGCAGAAATTTAAATGTGATTTATTCACATCCAGTTTGAGAAGAGGTCAAAGAAAAACCATATTTGCTCTATCATTAGCGCATTTTTCTATGGTTAAAATAAGTAACTTTTAATGATTTTGAGGGGTTTATATGGGCGTGTAAGATCAAATCAACATATTGATAGTGTGGACATGGACAATGTTTTGAGTAAACAAGGTATACAGTATGAGTAAACAAGATATATTATTATTACCATATATAACAATATAATTTGCTGCCTTGTGCAATGTTTGATATCATCCATTACGAAAATAATTTAAATACACATATAGAGGTACATTGCATCTTGTATTTTTATTATGAACAGCGGAATTACAACAATGTATCAATTGTATTTTCAATGATGCAACAAAGTAAAATGCAGTAATATTTCATATATATCATATTTATACATAATTTCTCTGTTATTATATATGACAGAGGGAAGCTGGCACACTTACATGTACTTCTATTGTTACAGTAGATTCTAATAGTGCAGTTAAACTCTACATACAATGTATCTTTTCTCAGTACTATAAAGGTGCAATATTACAAGAAGATCCGGATCATCTATTGGGTTTAGTATTAGAAGTTATTCCAAACCATTCTTGTCTTGTATTCTGTTCTACTAAAAGAAATTGTCAACATGTTGCTGAAATGCTGTGTCGTCATATGTCAAGGTTAGTATCAACTCTTAATGCATCAGTCTTTGCAGTTGCATAGTAACGGTCTTCATTGAATAATGGGAATTTTTCCAGTAGATCCAATCTAATCCATCCCAAGCACTAACACTATAACTACCACTTGGGTAATATATAGCATTTATATTGCTTTTATAACAATCTTTATACCACCATCCTCCTTTACATGCATCAACACAATTCCCACTACTTCTCCCATCATTATCTCTATCTTTAGTACTAAATTTCTGACCATTGTGATAAGTCAGAGAATCGCCAGCATTCCCAGAATATTGTCCCACATGTAATCTGTAACCTTCCGTTTCTTTGTCGACCCAAAACTCCAGGTATTCTGCATATCGGGTATTCCCATCCCAGTCTTCCAGATTTACTTGTAGCTTGTACTCTGCCTGGTTTGTGATGAAGTAAATTTTCTCATTTCCAAGCCAGTATTCTCCTCTCCAGTTACCAAAGCCGTCTTTATATGACTGCCAGTCTCTGTAAAAATCCACTGATCCATCCAGTCTACGCTGTATTACTGTCCATATACCATCATTATCAGTTATATTACAATATACATGGAATGGGTTGCCATGGTATCCACTTGGTTTGATCAGATACACTCCACTTCTTGTAATCTGTGGTGTATTGCAGTCTGCAAGAATTACAAACATAGAAAAATATCAAACATAGAAATTTGTTACTTTTTGTTTTATTTGTTTTTGTGATGCTTTGTTCAATAAAACACCTACAAGTGTTTGGAGTTGAGACAGCTGCTTGCGATTAACATTCAAACGAAACCATGTGAATGGACATTAATACTTGGCTTGTGTACTTGGCTTGAAAATAAGTCGTTCAACTTTGGCTGGCAGGTCATACCATCACTCTAGTTTAATGGTAAAATTGCGAAAAAATTCCAGGCCGACCGTTGCCAGCAAAAAACATGATTTTTGAATAGCATTATGCGGTATGTATGTATCTGTGTTGGCACAAAGATACTATTTGTTTTTTTGATATTTCTTTTCATTACCAAAAAAATTTGACCTCAAAAATTGGGTTACTTTTCACCAGTAACGCCTTTTAACTCTTCTGTGATTTTTTTTTTTTGGCTGGGCTGATTTTGTTCATACATGGCAGGCAGGTCATATCGTCACTCTAGTTGGGTGGCAAAATCGGATAAAAATCCTGGCTATGACTGTTGCTATGACAAGTTGCACATCGACGAGAGATCACCGGTGCCTATTCTATTCTATACCTTAAAATATATGAAAAATTGTTTTTTCCAAAAAAAAAAAAAAGAATCCCTGAAAAAGGCAAAATAATAAAAAAAAGCAAACGACTTGTATCCCTTGCATGCACCCTCAGCACAAAGGTTAAGTTTCTACGTCATATGGATAATCTCAACGTGTGTGTGTGTGTACCTATCTGTCTGACCTTTGAGCAAGTGACGCTGCAAGTTGAGCTACTTATTTGAGTGCAATATATATTAACAAATTTGTAATATTCTGGTATTAGAAGTAACTTCCAAAGTATTTTAATTCGTTCCCTTGAGTATTTTTAAAATTGTACCATATTTGTAGATCTATTACCAGTAATGTTGTAACTATAGTATCTTTCTCATGACTTACATAAATAATCTGAATGACTCTGTAAAATCAAAAATAACTTTTATTTAGTTTAGACTGAACTATACATACACACACACTATATCCATGCAGATACTATTTGTCAACTGAACATCCATTGAAAAACATCCATTCATTGGAAGCAGTGGTATGAGATATAAGTTTAATAATTATTCGGTACCCGGTAAATACCCTGTGTATTTTTATTTTATTGGATTCAATGTTGCAGAGATATTCACTAGGTTTTAACTTCATGGTGAAGGAAACAATACATACTATTGTTAACTTTGCATTAGTGCATTTTAGCTATCAGCAATATAAGTGAAAATAAAACCCAGCAAATAATTGAGTTCTATATACTCTTGCCACTATACTGTATTTAAACAAACTAACCTTTAGGTAAGTAACTGTGTTGTAGCAGGGATTGTAATTGTACTTCCTGTTGATTCAACCTTGCTTTTATCTCTCTCAGTTGGTCAGACTCCACCATACATAAACCATCCTGTTCTACTAAAAATGTGTAATAACAGCTCCCAACTGGTGTTCTTTCGTTACCAGTTTGCTGACATTGTGCAGGTGTCAGTAGCAGGAGTAGACACATGTAAAAAATTACCAGTGGTTTCCATCCATTTAGCTCCATCATTACTGCACAACAGGATCTGATAGAACTATGATATTTGTTGGAATAAACTTTGATTACCTTGAGGGGCCCACACATCCTGGTTCTTTCTAGGAAATTCTCATTCATTTTAAAAAATGAGCTGTCATTAAAATTCAAAAAAATAGTTTCACATGGACTGCACTGAAATCAACAAGCCATGTACTGTAAAGTACTTTATTTTAGCTGGAATTAATTTTCAGAATTAGCTGGAGTTAATTTTTTGGTGTTTAGTATAGAATTTATTTTCACTGATTTTTTTTTGACGAGTAGAATGTAGGAAAGAAAGGTATATTCGCTGGATTTTATTTTCACTGAATCATTTCTTCAGCGAAAATTTATTCCAAGCGTAAATAAAGTATTTTACAGTATGTTGTAAATTCAAGCTTTTGCAGTGGCTTGCTTAGCCAAGCCAAGTCAATTCTATACTTTGATTTGAAATTGCAACTGTTGGGTTTATAAATATTTATAAGAATACATTCATACTGATGTAATAAATTTGAAATTGTTACCCCTCAGAAAAAAATGGCATAATGTGTAAGCCTTGTAGTCATACTGATACAATATAAATATATCAAAACTATTGTATCTGCCTAATATTCACTGGTATTTAATTCATCTGTCAGAATAGCTTATTCATGGTTTATCACAGTAGGTATTAATATATATTGGCAACATAAGTCATCAATGTTTTTGGTCTAAACTACCATATACAGCTTCCTCATGAAAATTGTCATTGTTTTGATTTCACGTATGTATATGGAATGCCTCATACAGATGTGTTTATTTTGTCAGCATCTATAGCTGCAGTTTTCTATTTTTAATGAATATTTTTGTTATTTTTTTCTAACTATGATGTGGCCATGTTTTCTGTCCAATTGCTAAGGTTTGTGGAACAAGGCGTGGCATGTAGAGCATTAATACTAAAAACATGTAAATTGTATATGCAGTTGTTTGTATAATCAAATGGCCTTATACAATTTTAATAAATTTATTAGTCTATTTTATAAAGCGCATAGTTATAACAAAATATGGTACAATACTGCACTGTAATGTGTGATTTAAAATCTGATCTATCATCCCCAGAATTGGTTCCAAGAAACAATAGTTAGTATTTGAGCAGTGTCTGCAAAGTTTCATCCAATGACTATCTAGTATGCCTTTTTTGAAAATTGTATTTATTGTATTAGCATCGCATCTCTAATAAAGGTGCACACAAATTAAATGTTGCATATGATGGAATGAATGCTGGATCATTAACATGACTTGTCTTAAGCATAGACACATCTCTGTCATGTGCTACTTAATAGAGTATATATGGTTCTGCTTTTCCCAGATTAAATCTAACCAAATAAAATTAGGATTTTCGGTTGATTGAAAATATTTTAAAACAATTTGTTTTTATTGGCACAGAAAAATTATGGATCACAAAAGAAAAGAAAAGAAAGAATTGTTGGAATCGCTGAAAAGAGAATGTGAAGATAATGTATGTTCTACTTTACGTCGTACTATTCCATATGGCATTGCATATCATCATAGTGGTTTGACCATGGATGAAAGGAAACTCATAGAGGATTCATACTCAGAAGGAACTTTGTGCCT